GTCTTGAGATCTACGGGTGAAGAGCACTCAGTAACAGCTAGGTATTATTACTATGGATCACCCCATACTGCCTGTTCCCCCAATTATTCATGTGTGAGGGGGACCATGTAGGGCTGTTTGTTGAGAATCCCCTCCTAAGTCCCAGACCTTTACCATAACAGGAACAGAATAAAGTGGCTAGGTCAGAGTTTAAACCAGGACTTTAATATGTAGAACCATGGCAGGAGGGATATGTTTAACTTGCACCAGTTCAGAGACTGCATAGAGAAAGAATAAAATAAAGACATCAAGTTTCTACTCTGGTGGCTGGAAAAGAGAAGAGAGTAGAGGCCTGGGAAAGCAGAGAATGGAAAATGTCAGGGTGATACAATGTTTTAAATAGTGACAGAGGATGATATGGGCAAAAAAGGGGGTTTCCCTCATAATGGGAAAACCACAGAGAAATCTCATAACTATATTAGCAGTGGCAAACAAGCCTCCACTCCACCACCTCCACACACTTTAAACCCTACAGTCAGAAGAAAATCTTCTGCCATCCAAAGACAGTAACATATGCAGTCATGATGAATAATGACAGCTTCAAATAGACTCTGGCGTCTTACTAACATATACATAAAATACTGTTTGCCTGCTGCCCAGTGCCATCCTTGATTTCCCTACCTTCTCTGCAGTCCCTGAGCAGCAGCTATCACCTGGCTCCTGCATCTTCCACTACCCAGGACTAAGGGATTCCTTACTCAGCATGACCCCTGGGGAGTCTCTGTCTAGCAGTAACCTTGCATTCTCCATTACCCCTGGGGTCCATAGCCCATCTCTCCTTCCATGTGTAAAACATGGATGACAATACAACAATACAAACTCTTTTAATAAGGAAATAATTGTAAAGTCCTGTCATGATTCTGGACAGAAAGTGGTCTCTAAATACAAGTTTATAGAAGTTGTTCTCTGAAAAACAAAGTGTTTTGAGTACAAAGTGTTGAGGTAGTGCAGCAAATACAATGTTACATCAGGTATAATCAAGCTGCTGTGTGTCAGGACAAAACACAGTTGGAAGTAGGGGCAACAGGAGGTATATTCATAGATTCATAGATTGTAAGGCCAGAAGGGACTTTGGAA